ATGTCTATCCAACGCCCGGACAACAACGACCGGAATCGCGTCCAGGAGTTCGCCGTATTTTGCTCCATAATCTTTCGGCGTGGGGCCATAGTAGCACCGCAGTTTGTGCCGAGAGCGCCGTGGACATCGCGATCACCCCTGAGACCCATGTTTGAGCCAGTCGTGACACTCAGAATATTTTGAGCACACTGAAGCAGCACAAGTGGCATGGGCGTGTTTCTCCAGCTTACCCCGCGGCCAAATCGCATTATCCCAGCGCGACCCTACTTAGGATTTGGAGCCTTTAGGAAAGCAACATTAGTAGGAGCGGTAAACGCCGTCTTCCTCCTTCCCCTCATCGTCGTAGTTGTAGCAGTAGCGGTAGTAGTAGTAGTAGTAGTAGTAGTAGTAGTAGTAGTAGTAGTAGTAGTAGCAGTAGTAGTAGTAGTAGTAGTAGTAGTAGTAGTAGTAGTAGTAGTAGTAGTAGTAGTAGTAGTAGTAGTAGTAGTAGTAGTAGTAGTAGTAGTAGTAGTAGTAGTAGCAGTAGTAGTAGTAGTAGTAGTAGTAGTAGTAGTAGTAGTGTAGTAGTAGTAGTGGTAGTAGTAGTAGTAGTAGTAGTAGTAGTAGTAGTAGTATTGGTCGTAGTAGTAGTAGTAGGAGTAGTGGTAGTAGTAGTCGTAGCGCCACAACCGCCGACGCCACGCCGTAAGTGAAGCAACAGCAGAAGCTATGCTATGCTATGCTATGCTGCGCTATGCTGCGCAATGCTATGCTGGGCTAGGCTAGGCTAGGCGATGCTATGCTTTGCTATGTTATTCTATGCTGTGTTATGCTATGCTATGCTATGCTGTGCTATGCTTATGATTTGCCTTTGCTTTTGCCTTCACGGTTGCCTTTGCTTTTGCTTTTGCTTGGCACCCAGGTGGCGCAAGTGGGGAGACCGCGCGTTTGCTTTTACGTTTGCTGTTGCTTTTGCTCGGGTCCCAGGGGACTGGGGGAACCGCCCGGGGCGCGTTGCACTGCCCGGCCCTTTTAAGCCAACAGAGTAAGAACCCTTCTAGGCAGAGCCTAGGTAGGGACACAAGCAGGAGGTATTGTTCTTGGCGTTCGGCAGCGTCACGCTTGGACGTCTTTTTCGGCACTTATCGGGTGACCCGTGCAATTCTGTTGGTCTTGTGAACGTTGGCGATGCTGCAAGTGCCCGTGGTTTTTTGTCCCCCAGAGATGCGTATGCTTTGGTATGGAGAATGTCAAGAGTATCCTTTCTTGTGATTGGTGCGTGTCCTACTGTGTCAATTGATCCTTGCCGTCCATGCAACGTGGGCGAGCTGCTCGCGATCTCATCGTCGAATTCAAACCACTCAGATCCCTGGATCATCCCAGGTGGTTTCAATTCCACGCCTGAGGAGCTGGCCCGGCTGGGAACGCAGGTGGGGCGGACAGGTCTACTGCCCGACAGGCATTGCGCGCATATCCACCAGTGGCAGGGGCTCGCGCATCATCGACTACGCCGTCGGGTCTTTTTTTTTTTTTTTTTTTTTTTTTTTGTCATCGCGATGCGATGCAGATCTATGCGGAAGGTGGCGAACGTTATGGCGTGGCCTTGGAGATGACAGTTGACTGACATTGCTTTGATCGCCGCATCGTGGATTCGCCCGAACCCTTTCTACCTCCGCTGCCTCGCAAGACCCAGGCCGACCCCGGCAGCAAGCGCTCGCGGATGAAACTCGAGCTCAATACCAGGCGCCAGTCGCATCATCAGGAGCATCATGAGCAGCAGCATGGTGCGACCAACGGGAACGTGGACACTGATGACGAGGATCTGTTCGCTCAACCTCAAGTCATCCAGTCTCGTGCTCATCTTCATGAGGACGCTTGGAAGTTTCTGCGTCGAGACATGTGCGATGTTGATTTAGATGCCTTCCAGCGTACGTGACGGGCGCGCGCCAGCGATGTCAGACCAGCAAGCGCGACGAGAACTGCGATCCAGCCAAATTTTTGCATTGGTCTACTCAGGATCTGGATGATTGGTGGAATGTCATCGAGGATTGTACATTCTGATTGGATCAGAAGTAGTTCTTTTTTCAATATGATCCCGGCGCTGCCGTTTCTGCGGGGCAGACATGGGGCATGTCGTCAGCTTTTCTGAGAGTTATTTATGCCGTGTCTTGGATGTGCCGCCAGAGTGGGCGCGGCAGTGCTGCGGACGTAGTGAAGCACGTTCTGTCGAGATGGCCCCGATGGCGCAGTCCACGTCTCGCGAGCGCTCTGATGCATCAAATCAAATGATGGTTGCAGGTCTCAGACTGGATCGACGAGCTCATCGGGGTCACTGGTGGCGCGGAGTGCGCCGCTCCACGCGCGCTTGCCGCTCCCGCGGGGGGCGGCGAGCCCCCGCCGCCCCACTTGCCGCGCAAAGGTATCGAACTATACAAGGTCAAGAACGCGCCGAGGAGAGATTTCTTGGTGCGCAGATTGTCGCAGGCCCAGCGGGCGCGCCCCTGTCGGGCCGCGGCTGCGCTGTGGGCAGCGACGGGCACGTTTGGCCCAGTGCCCGCCTGAATATGCACAACCTCTCGCGAGGGGCCCTTGATTTGATGGGATGTTCAGCCACTGGGATTGCTCTTGCGCTGGGGATGAAAGCCGCCAGTGACAGCTATGCCGCATTTCAGATGTGGGCACGCGATGCTTTTGAGCATGCATGTGGGATGCGACGCAGCCATGTCAGGCCCGAGGCCCGCGTCGAGACAGAGTGCCGGGATCCCTTTGGAAGTCATGCGAACCTGAGGGATGTGCCCATGCAGAAGAGCTCTTGACGGCAGCAGAAGTGGCCTTACAAGATTTCAAGGATTCAACGGGTCCGTCAACTACGTCGCCAAGCTCATCGACGAAACTGGGGGCGGCCATGGCCAGTACTCCAGCCTGAGCATGCGGCCATCGCTATCAAGCAGATCATCTCCAAAAGATCGGCGGGCATCGAGCAGCTTGGTGGACCGCTTGAGCGCCGATCCCCAGCTGGCGTTTCTCACCTCGCCGCCTTCCTCAATAACTATGAGGGGCCGGGGGGGGGGGGGGGTCATGGCAAATCCAATCTGCTGCCGCGGCCTTACTGAGGAGAGGCCCAGATTCTGATCGATCAATTGGATTATTACCAGATTTGATGCGCTTGTGGAGTTCGGCCAGGCAGGAATCTCCTTCTGAGTGGGTTGGCTGCATGGCATGCAAGCGGGGTTATGCTGTTCGAGGCTCGTCTTGTCTTCGTGGGATTACTTCGAGATTTCACGGGCGAGGCTGTGCGCGCGGGTCCCAAGCGCGCTGTTTCAGCCCGCCTGCTCTGGGACATCGACTGTTTCTATGACTTGCTGGAGTGCGAGAGACTCTTCGAGCAGGGCCCGGCATTGAATTTTCCACCGCTTGCGTTATTTATGGAGGGTTTCTCGCACATAGTTGTTCGGCTATTCGGAGAGGACTCCCGCTTTGGCCACCCCCTCCCTGTCCAGGCGCACGAGAGCATCGTTGCCCGTGCCCGCGGTGGAGTTGACTTTGGCAGATTCTATGCGCATAGTATTCTGGATGCTGCCCACAACAGCTTTTACCCGACTATTTGTGCCGCGTGGTTTGATGATATCACGCAATGTGCATTTGGCTCCGTCGGGGCCCCCTCGCAGGCTTTCACCGAAGCCGGTGCTCTCTTGGGCAGATAATGTAACGGGGCGCACTTGAGCATTGCCAGCCAGTGTAAGATCATCGCGGGGGACAACAGTTTGGCCACATACATTGCGCGTACTCGGGCACATCAGTATCAATATCACAGTACCACACAAAAGCTGTTGATCTCGGCACCGACAGAGGCACGGACGCGCGAGCACGACCTAAAGCAGCAGCGCGACGGACGGCAGCATGGAAGCAAGTCGGCAACAAACGCAAATTTTTAGGAGCAGGCCGCATGGGTAAACGCGCAGCACGTCGCGTCATATTTCAGGGCTGTAATGCCATGGAGCAGCGCGATGCAACAGCATATGGCATGGGCCCCTCGGCAACGCAGGCATGTCGCAGGGCTAGAGGGGCGTTTTTACAAGCTCCATCCGCGGACGTCGCCTCGACGCCCTGTTGCAGCTGGAGCTGGGCGACGAGGGCCCGGCCGTCTCGCAGGTCTTTAAGATGTCCGACAGCTGGGCGGCCATTCTACATTTTGGAGATGAAGCGCGCAAATTCGCGGCGCGGGATCGGAGCGCCCGCGTCTCGCGGCCCAAGGAGGGCCCCAAGCGCCGTTGGCGAAAGACTCCTGGGCCCGCAAGGGCCGTCGTGAACGCCCTGCTTGACGTCGACTGGGGCCCCGTCGGGCCTTGGCAACGGGTGTCTGATCGGGGCAATGTGTATCAGGCTTAGCCAGAGGCCCTCCAAGAAGGCCCCCGCGATCTTGTCGACGTGCGACGCGGCCTGGCATTATTATGGAAAAGGGCCGCCAAACATTGCGAAAGCGATGACGTATCCGATGGCGTCGATTTGACGGACGCACGACAGCTGCTACGACGAACTAGAGAACGTGACACACATGCCTGGGCAGGTGCTCTGGTCAATGCGCGCTGCGGAGGTCAATGGCCGAAAGCCAGAATTCGGGGTGTCATTGGCCCGCCAGAGTTCTCAGTCGCGTGCGATCGATGCGACAGCGGGCAGCCCGAGACCTTGTTTCACCGCGCGTGGGGATGTTCCGCCAACCCCGGCCTCTCCTCGGTCGCCGGCGGCGAGGAGTACGCGCGCAGATCACGCGCGCAGGCGGAGTCTCAGCCGCCGATTTGGTTGCGTGGTCTCACGCCAGCTGCGCGGGCGGAAGTATCTCTGCCGCCCGAATAGCCCGATATTTCCGCGCGCGCGGTTAGTTCCCAGACGACGCAGACGTCATCGTCGGCGCGGCGGGCGCTTCGGGAGGCAAGTATTCTGGCCAGGCTAGGTTCAGAAGGGTATCTTGGGCATATATGGAGTCCCAGAGTTTCGACATGGACAATCCCAATCCCGAGCAGGCGACATCGAGGGTCTCGACTGGGGCCGCATGGGGTCCCAGGCCATCAACCACGGAGAGGTGATCGCATTCCTGAGATTCTTGGAGGAGGCCCCCATTGGCCATCAGCTCGTGCATGTCACGGACTCGTCTTACTTTCAGAAGAATGCCGCCAAAGTTGTTCTGGATTTCTCTCCCGAATGCCATCGGAATGAACGGCGCAGGATTCGCGTGCTGCTTCGAGCGACGCTGACGGTTATACTCAAGATCGAGTCGCACGTGACACCAGAGTTGGCGGCCGAGAGAGAAGTTAGGTCGTTCACACTGGCCGGCAACGAGAGGTGGCCAGCTGGCCAAGCAGACGACCGAGCGCATTCAGCTGCTGGCAGGGGAGGTTGAAACAGCGCTGATCGCCGAGGCTCTCACCCGAGCCATCCGAGTTCGAGCTTCCGAGATTTTTCGTTTGAGGCTTTCGGGGGTCCCTGGAGGCATCCCTGCGGGGCGTTCTCGAGTTAGGAAGAAAGCCCGCGACAAGCAGCCGCCCCCTCTTGTCCCCCCTTTCCCCGAGCCTTCAACCCTTGCCCGAAGTTGCGGAAGCAGTTGCGCGCCAGCGCGCGCTCGATGATCTCCGTGGGCGAGGGCACCACATGTCGTTTGTTTTGTAATGCCTGTCGCAGTGTTATTTCTGCCGATTCCCACGGTGACATTCCGTCCCATGAGTTCCTGTTTTCTCCTTGCCAGGCCGCGTTTCCGAGAGCGGGGTTCGAAGGCGCCAGGCAGCTCAGTAATGTGGCCTTCGGGGCCAGGTCAGTTGACCCATCTCATGACATGGTTCTTTCGGCCAATGGAACTGACATCTGTTTGACGTGCGGCAGCCATGCCTGACGCAGTGCCCATAATATGTTCAAAGAGTGTAAGAAGGCCACCCCAACTGGCAATGCCTAGTTGGGCAAACTCAGGCAAAGGGGAGGTTTAGCCTTCCTTCCTGCCTCCCTCGCTTGAAGGGTTGTCCCTCCCCACGTTTTTGAAACGGTCCACTGGTCAACTTTGGGGTCCTCCTCCTCCGCTTCCTGCCCATCCCCCTTTCACCCTCGTGGATTCCTCGTCCTCTTCTTCCTCCCGCCACTGCCTGCTGCCGCTCATGCTATCCCTTGTGTCCTTCTTTTCTCCCTCGCCTCCGCCCCCCCCCCGGCCCGATCGTCCCTTTCACCTGGGTGAGGAGGAGGAGGAGGAGAAACAGGAGGAGGAGGAACAGGAGGAAGGGGAGGAGGAGGAGGCGGAGGGGGAGGGTTTGGCTTTTCCTTCATCCTCCGCGTCCCCCTTGGGCGCTCCCCGAGGTGGGAACTCGTCCCTGACGCTTGGCTAAGGGGCGCCGAGGACACGGCTGCAACCCTGCTGTTGGGACGGCCGCGGCGCCCCGCTGTTGCCTCCCCCCCCCCCGTTCTCGTGCCGCCGCTTCGGCTCTCCCTCTTTCTCTCTCCCTGCCTCCTGTCTTCGTCCCCTTCTCTCTTATGGTCCTTCCCCCAGCATCTCAAATGTACCTGGAGGCCTGCCCAACGGGAAGTCGGAAACATCCCGATCGAGCCGCCGCAGTCAGTCTGGCCAGTTGTTCGGCATTCGTCGGCAATGCACGCTGCCAGCTCACGCGTCCTGGGAGTTAGCGTCCTGTATACACAATGGGTTGGAGTCGTCGAAGCAGCCCCTCTTTCTCTCTCTCTCTCTCTGTCTCTCTCTCTCTCTCTCTCTCTTTCTCTCTCTCTCTCTCTCTCTCTCTCCTCCTTCACTCCTGTCTCCGCTCCCCTTTTCTCGTTTCGCCCTTCCCCTGGCTTCCCCTCGTCGCCCACTTTCCAGGCATCCGACGTCACAGTCTCTTCGTGACGTTGTTCCCCTGGAGTTTTCGACCCCTACCCTGGGATCAGGGTATTCAGCCTGACGAACTTCTTGACGGGTCCAAGGGCCCAGACACGGCCACCAGAGATCCGCAGCAGAGAAGAACCAGCCGTCTCGACTCTCTCTATCTGTTGATAGCCAACGGATGCCTTCGCCCCGATCGATGTCTCTGGGGTCCCTGGAAGCCTTCGGATCGAGCCTCGACCATCGAGGCCCCCGAGGGTGATGTCGAGGGGGTCTCGATGGGGTACCTCGACGGGGGGAAAGGGGGGAGGGGGACCCCGATCGGGGAAAGGAGGGAAGGGGGACTCTTCCCCCAGTCCTTTCCCTCTTTTTTTCCCGTCTCCCTCCTTCCCCAGCAATGCCGAGGCCGCCTCCTATTTCCCCTGCCCCGCCATGCGCTCTCAGACGGCCAGAGTGCATAATCACATGTGTTCGGATGGGAAAGACTTGGCCGTAGTCGTGATCGTGCTACTCCACATGGAGATGGCCTTATCTTTCAAGGCACGGTGCGCCAGCAGTGCACACCCTGCATCATCACCCAATCCAATCGGTTCCGCCTCTTCCATCGAGCGCTCCTCTTTCCCTCTCTCCAACTCCCCTTGCTCGTCGTCCTGCCCCTTCCCCTTCTCACCCTCTCTCTCTCTCTCTCCTCCACCTCCTCCCACTCTTTTAGCACCTCGTCCTGCTCCATTTCGTCGCCCTCCTCCCCTTCCTCCCTCCACCCCCCTACTCTCTCTTCTCCCGTGGTTTCCCTCGCTGTCCTGTGGCGAACCCTTTGGATGGCAGCGGAGTTCATGTTTTGCGCGTCGTTGCTTGTTCGCTGCCCTCTCCGTCGTGGATCGTCTCCGTCTCCGTGTCGGCCCTTCCTTTCCTGGACAGTGCCGCTCTCTCCTCCTCGTCGTCTCCATCTTTTCTTCGCCGAGCTATGGGGGCGCTGGCTCGCCCGCGGCGTCGGTCAAGGCGGCCGCGCGCGGCCGGCCAGGCAAGAAAGGCGCCTCGCACGAGGCATTCGCACCACGACACTGGCGAAATGGTCCACAAGGTGTCAGAGGAGGAAAAGGCACCCATACCCCTACCCTTCGCCCGGTTTCCCCTTGCTGGGCCTCCTGGGAGGCCCTCGTCGCCACCGCTGGATTCGCCTCGAAGTTCTGGTCAGAACGCACCCTGGGAGAGGTCCGGGGAATTGCGGTATCGGTATCTTTTTGATCTCCACAGGGTCGCGAGGACCAGGTCAGCGGTCCATGCCGGCAAGGGTCGAGAGCTCCAGGAAGGCCAGTGCCAAAGTCCGCGACCAGGCCCATGAAGAGGGAGGGGACTGAAGAGGCCTTCTGGAGCCAAAGGAAGACACAGGGGGGGAACAAGGTGTCCTGGGTCACAGCCGCCGTCTAGGAGGACGATGGGCGCCGCTGCCCATCCGACCTCCTGCTGGAGTGCAGGCGCCCGAGCACGAGCAGTACACGGGATAGAGGGACAAGGAGAACATGGCGTGTGATGAGAGGAGAGAGACAAAGGACAGGGGAGAGATTGGCACCGCGTGCAGTGAAAAGGACGGCCTATGCAACTTCAAAGATGGTCAAGGGCTCCGATGCTGGACTGGCTCGCCATCTCGCGCGTCTGGCAGTCTCCCCATACGGCGCCCCTGACACCTAGCTCCAGGTGAGCACGCCGTCGAGTAAGGGGCCATCCACGGGCGCACCCAGGAGCACCGCGGGGGGGGGATGGCACGGCAACTACAAAAGCAGTGCCACAGAGAGCAATTGCAGATCCTTTCCCGGTCCAGCTTATCTTCCATGGCCTGATGGTCAGCGAAGTACGCTTCCGCCCCCACCAAGGGTCGCGTTTGGGTTTGTTTCGTGCCTTGCCATGTTTGCCCCCGTGGGGAGGGGTCAAGTGGCCAGCTCCAAGCACGCTACGGTCCACGGCATGCATAGGATGATGGATGGGTGGGCGGGGAGGAACAAACAAGCCGAGATGAACACCGATCATCATAACCAGCACCAGCACACCACAACCACGAAGAGAGACGACATCAGGGAAGCAACCTGTGAATTGCGTCGTGGTTCAGCTGCCGCTACTCGGCTTATCTGGAGTGCCGCGCGAGCGAGCTGATGATCCAATCATGCTGGCCGTACTCGGTGGCTAACGACAGCTTCGTCTGGAAGCCTACCTCCAGCATCAAGCTGTGTGAGCATGTCAGTGTCCACGTGGAATGTAAATATCGGACACATGGAGTGCAAGCTGTCACGAACAACAGGACAAGTTTCTTTGCCCGCGCAAAGAGCTACCCTTCTGACCATGGAGGAGCAGCTCTTCAAACTAATCATGGCCCCAGCGTCGCCTACCAAAACAGCTGGTACTCCGTTCCAGCACGCGGCCTGGAGCAAGATAGCGACGTCGCTCATTCGCTTGTTCTCCTCAAGAATAAGTACACGGTGCTTTGCGGTCAACCTCGGAAATGGGCCCAATGATGCGGGCGAACGAATAGACCCCGCCCAGGCTATCAGCTATATTCTATGTCTCGACTGGCGACTTATTTCGCCACCAACGCAATAGACCGAGTACGTAGCTGGTGTATCACACCTGGAACCAAGATAGACAGCAGGGGCATCCCGCAAGAGGGGGAAGTCTGCCATCCTCTCAGATGCCTCGCCCAGCTGATGAACAGGAGCAAGCTCATGGGGTACATCTAGTGCTTGGGGTGGCCCGCCCCTCTGAAATGTTTGAGCTCGCTGTAGCCACGGTGTAGGAATCAGTTTGGGTGTCCGGACACTAGGTGCCTCAATGGGCCACTACTCAAATGCCTGACGTTTCGCGTAATCCCACCAGTCCAGTGCCGCTGGGCGCGTGGCCACGAGATGCGACGGGAGTCGCCGCGCGCCCACCGCCCTTCCTGGAGTTGGCAGCACTGCGCACGCTGAGAATGGGCCTCAGCGTGTGGCACGAGCTCAAGCTAGGGTTGGGGCCTCCCCTGAGGGTGACCGCGGGTGTGACAGGAGGGGAGACGGGCCGACGCCTGCCCTGGGATCCGACTCGCATCTCCGAGGCTTGCGCCGTCACTCCGCCGAGCGTCCCCCCCTGGACACTTCTATGCCGAGAGAAGCAGCCTTCAGCTGCGAATGGGCCAACCCTGCAACCACAGAGGTGAAGAGCCTTCAGCTCGAGAATCGGAGGCAGCACCAATGGTCGTCGGGAGCGCCGCTGGGCACGTGGCCACGAGCGGCGACGGGAGTCGCCGCGCGCCCGCCGCCTTTCCTGGAGTTGACAGCACTGCGCACGTAGAGAATGGGCCTTCAGCCCGAGGAGCTCCCAGCGAGGCAGCAGCTTTGAGCGTTCCTGCAGCTTGGGACGGCCCAAGCGGACTGTTCGGCGCCGACGGCGATGCAACGACCAGTCAACTCCCTGGGCTCTCCTGTAACCCTGAAGACTTTCGTCAGCCACCCGCCCCCCAGTTGGACAGTCGCGGATGTGGCGAGCCCTCAGTTCGAGACTCTCACACGGGACGAGCCTTCAGCTCGAGGGCCCAAGGCGCACCGGGTAACCACTGAAGTGCCCGCCGCCTCCCCTGGGCACGTCATTTTGCACGCACAGAAGGCGGGCCTTCTGCCAGGGGAGCGCTGCGCGATGCAGCAAGGGTTCCTGATTGCCTGTCGCCGGGGCTGTCGGCCACCACCTCATATCCCATTGCTCCCCCCCTGGCAGCAGTATCGTGGCGACAGGTGGGAGGGCTGCTGAGGGAGCGCCCGCGGTCGGAGACCAGCCTCCTCCCGACCAAGACGCCCCTTCAGCCCGGGGAGCACCGTGCGAGACAGCAGGAGTGGACGAGGACGCGTCTAGACAGAGCCGAGACGTGCTTGCACCCTGGGATCCTCTATCAGACAGCGGCCTTCAGCCGCTCCTTGGACTGCCAGTGGCCCAAATGGTCCTGTGCTCGGCTAAGCTGTTTGGGACCGACCGTCGCCCACTCCTGAAGCGTGCTTGCGCCCTGGGACTCTCTAACAGACAGCGGCCTTCTGCCGCGCTTTGGACTACCTCTCTCGCAACCGTGTGGCAGCCCTGTTGCCCCCCCTCCTGGTCCGCACACATCCTGCCTTTGGACCCAAGTGTGCCGATCAGTAATACCATTTGCCTCGCTGCGTGATGGAACGCAGCTCGCAGACCCTAGCTGGCCCCCGGCCCCGCTGTGAAATTCTCGCCGGTGGCCCGAATGATCCTGTGCTCGGCTAAGCTGTTGGGATCGCCCGTCGTCCACTCCTGATGCGCGCTTACACCCTGGGATTTCTAACATACTGCGGCCTTCAGCCGCGCTTTGGACTCTTGCGGCTTTCTGCCGCCCCTCCTGGCACGCGCACTTCCTGCCTTTGGATGCAGGTGTGCGTGCCAGTAATACCGTCCACACGGCGTCCCACGTGCGGACTAAGGGGCCCCTGGCCTCACTGTAGCTGTTTTCACCTGCCAGGCCTAGCCTGGCGCGCGGTCGTGGCCGACCTGGCGGTTTTCGCCCGTCCCAGTCTGCGCCACCCCCTGGATTCTTCAAGCTACTACGGCCTTCAGCCGTGCCTCCTGGAACGATGTGGCTGTGAGGGACGCGTCCTTTGGTATACGGCGGCCCTGTCCCTCGAGCGCCTCCACGCT